CCCCAAAACCCCAAAACCCCAAAACCCCTTTTAAAACTAGCTTTAAAAATTATAATTAAAATTTGCAAAACAAGAATATGGAACTTAATGTCGACATAAACAAACCAAGCAAGAAGATGGGTAAGTTTTTATCATTGATTTTAATAGCTGAACACTTGGTAGGCAAAAGGTGAGCTTTAACAACCTAAAACATTACTAAAAAGGATTATTCAGAGAAAGCTGATTATTTTTCTAGGCGAAGGAAAATGTCAACCTTTTCAGTAAATTGAGGAGACCAAGACCAAGAGATCTCCTCTCAAGGTAAGTCTTTTCTTATCTTAAATCTATTGTATCTTGGTTTGATTCTAGACTTATAACAACTCAATCTAGGAACTGAAGAGCAAAATAGAACTTTCAACCATATTGATGAGAAATAGCTGGAATAGTGTAGATGATGAAGAAGAAAAAGTTCTCTGAGGTATTAAACATCATTTTTTCATGCTCATACTTAAATTTAGAAATAAATGAAGATGACCCTGAACCAAATCAAATAAATTTGGATCTTATATCTCTACAACATGAAACTGATGAGCCCCAATTTAAAGACCAAGCAATCTCGACTGTAGAGCTGCTTAGCCCAGGAGGAAAACTGGAATCTACATCAGTAGTACATGATGTTAGACCAAGAAGTACCCTTTCAGCTAGGAAGAGAGCCAAGAGACCTTATCAACATTCTATTTCTTCTAGGTGAGATTTAGCCACAGTTTTCTTAAAAGCCAGCCCTTCTCATCCAATCCAATATCCTCAAGAAATCTTCATTTTAAAATTTTAATGAATCTGTTCTAAGCCTATGTCTAGTTTCAAATAAAGATAGAAGAAAAATATCCAGGAATAGTATTGTGCTTCGGAGCATACCTGTACTTCGACCTTCTCCCAACAGAGGAATTCCAGGCAAATTTCAGCGTTCAAATGTGATAAAATCCTCTGAATTTCTTGAAGACCCCCCAAAGCCCAAGTTGCTAACTGACGAAGAGTTTAAAGAGCGGAAGGCCAAAATAATGGTGTTACATAAAGAGCAATCTAAAAGGGCTGAGAGACGCCTGAAAGAAATAGCCAAACAAGAAGAACGCTTCAGGTAATGACATTATTAGCTAGATTAGTCTCTATGAATATGAGCTTTGAAGTTTACACTAGTTTTTTGGTAAATTCCTGGAACTATTATAGCTTATTCCTCATATTTCTTCTAGAACAAGTCAACTAGTTCTAGGTGATAGTTTAACATGAAATTATTAATCTTCCTACTGTCTATATAACACTTAGACAAGATTTCGAAGTTGAAGCTTTGATGTACCTGATATCAGCTTCAGATTCATAAGATCTTCAAGAAAATTTGGTAGACTTTTTACACTGATATTAACCTCGAGAATTCAAGATTTATGGGAACATTTCAAAATTATGTTTAGCTAAGGCAAAATGTTACTATCTGGAGCTCGAGGTTTTTTTTTTAATATCCCAATAAGTCAATGCTTGCTTCCAAATTCAGCCGATTTCAGTCCTTTACATAAATTTAGAAAACAGGATGAAGAAAAGAAACGAATTGAGGTAAAATTCACCACTAATTTCAGAAACTCAATGAAGAAATAAAACAAACCATGAAGAAAGAGCGTAAGAAGCAGATTGAAATCAGACTTCAGAAAAGAGATAGACAACGGTGGAAGAAGAAGCAAGAAATCCGAAAGATTGATATACGTAGCCGAAGCGTGATGAACAGCACACCGGTAAGAGACCTCTCTATTTCCTTTAGATGTACGTTAAAATGCAGAAAATGTTTGAAGACCAGTATGTAAAACCTGAGAAGGAGAAGAAACTCAAAAGACTAAAATTGATTAGATTAGACAGGATCACGCCTATCAATCATTCTGAGATCAAACTCCACAACAAACAGTATAAAGAGAAATTACAGAAAATGACTGAAGAGAAGATGAAGAAGAGGGAGACTGAGCTATCAGAGAAGCTTCCTTCCACGAAGCCAGACCTTTCAAACTACTTCTCCAGGCTTGTCCAAGAAATGGATAAAAAGAAGAAGGAAGAAGAGGCTAGGAGACAAATTAACTTGCAAAGATATAAATAAAATCAGGAATAAGTATTCAGGCATTTCATTGTTCCGAAAACTAGGGAAAAACTTCTCTCATAGTCCCTCCTCCGCAAGAATGGCAAAGGCTGGGGCTTCGAATTCAGAATCGAGGTACTTTCAAAGTGTGAGGCTAGCAGCAAATGAAATTTTTGGAAGGAAAAAGCGTATAGGCAATGCCTTCTTGAGCGCCTTCGACGACCTGCAGCACAAGCACAAATAAGAAAAAAGATGAACAGATAAAACAAAGTAAGCTTTATTACCATTTCTAGTCCTCTCAAAAATTTTCGAGCAGTCCAGAAACGCCAAATCCACTGACGAGAAGGTGACTCTCAGCTGGCTGATGAAGCAAAAGACCAAGGCCTTCACCAATAGAGCTGCTTTAGCTAAATTTAAGAAGAAATCTACCAAGAAAAAGCTTAAAAAGAAGAAGGATGAGGACTCTGAGTCCTCACAGAAAGAAAATGAGCTCGAAAGGGTAGAAAGTGAGCAAAATGAGGATCCTCTGAAGAAAAGTCACTCAAAAGTTAAGAAGAGAAAGAACTCCTTGAAGCTTAGTTGTGGCAGCAGGGATAACCTGGATGTAAGGGATGTCAAGACATCCACATCTGCTGATAATATTATTCATAAGAATATTAGCATGCATGGGAATAGACTCTGTATTTTTGGTGATGAAGATAGGAGTTCAAAATCAGGTAAAAATGAAATCTTACCAAAGAGAGATGAAACTGAAATGTCAAAGATCAAAGAAGAGTCCATTCCTACACAAGCTCCTACCCAGAATCATCTAGTTGTATTCAAAGAGGATACTGAAGCGCCTAAAGAGGGAGAAAAGTTAATGCTACATGAGGAGATTTCATTATCTCAAGCTCTTCAGCCAAAGGTTGTAAATTTCCTGAAGCACATTATTGGAGGAGAGGAAACTCCGATTCCCGAAAACCAAACTTCTTCGAAAGACTCTAAACCACCAAAAAATAAAACTTCAAAATCTAATAGAAAAAAGGTGTATTATAGGTAATTCTTTCAAATAATTCTAGGCCTGGATATGATCCCAAATAAAGCCACAAAAAAGATCAAGAAAAAGAGATCTAATAAGAGTAATTCCTACACTAAACTTTAGAGATAAAGTCAAGACAGCCTCCCAGCTCAGGGCCAAAGAAACCGACTAAAAGATTAGTAATCATGGTATAACCTTACTTAGAACCCTATGCAAATAAGTGTTGAAAAATTCAGTGATGGAATCGATCATTTTAACACCAATTTTACCAGCTCTCAATCCCGCAACGAATTTATAAAGTATATTTCTTGGCCAAAATTTTAGTAATAAGCAACCAAATTCACAACAGACTCCTATCATTTCAGAGAAAGCTCCTGTAAAGCAAGATTCCAAGCCGCGGAGAGTCAAAAAGGTAAGAACTAGCAACTTAATATAGAATAAACTGTTTCTGAAGAGATTCAGACATGTAAAGAAAGAGACAATAAGAGACCTCCTTCCTCCTATATCCCCGAGCGTTGAGTCTATAACACCTGAAATTCAGCTACCTCCAATCAAGAATAAGCACAAACGGACTGAGACCCAGGATTTGTCTCTTAAGAAGTTAGATGAGGAGTCCTACATGACGAAACAAAAGACTCTTAATGCTGACCTATCAGTGACCAGTAAGAACAAGATTATTGTTTTGAACAAGAAGTCCTCTAAGAAACCCTCAAAATTCTTCCAAGAGGCTCAGAAAGGTAAGGTTCTATAAACTCAAATCAGCGTAGCCAGCTTCAAATCTTTTGATAAGAAATCTCCCAGTTGAGCTGCCCTCCTTGAGAAGAAGAAGATTGATCGACTAGAGCTTAAAAATAGAGAGCAAGAGCAAAATCTACTGGACCAAGAAAAGACTACCACAGATGAAAAGTATAGTAAGGTGCATTTTAAAACCTTTAGGCACGATTGCCAAGCGCTTGACTCTTAATGACAATCTAGTGAGTGAGATTCAAAGGAAACTTTTCCTTGCACAAGAGCTTTCATAATTTCTGTAATGTTATTTCTCAATTCCGGCACTTTTTCATGGGGTTTTGGGGTTTTGGGGTTTTGGGGTTTTGGGG